GTACCTGTGCATGGTGGACATTGTGGTGGTGGCGGAGGAGGTGGTGGAGCGCATACGGGACATGCGGGAGGTGGTGGTGGCGGAGGACATTCTGGACATGGATCACAAGGTTCAGGTTGAGGACATGGTGGGGGTGCTGGACAGGCCGGTGCAGGTGGTGGTGCTGGCGCAGAACATATTAACAATTTGCATGACACACCACAGCAGCAGCTACCTGCAGAACCCGGGGATGCGAGGTAGAGAACAGCTAGTAATGCTGCGTAGGCTAGTTCCATTCCCTACAATAAGAATATTAGGAATTATGAGCAAATTTTTGATTTATAGTGGTGAGCGAGCAAGCCTCAAATGTCGTATAGACTTGACAACGGCTGCATACAAATTAAGAAGAACAAACATCTGAAAATTAATAAAAATTCGATTTTTATGAGTAATAGCCATTAAATAAGGAGGTGAAGAACACTCTTTCTAGAAATAAAGGTTTTGAAGACGACTTGTTGCTTGGAAAAATAGGTTGTGTGTCTCCTTATATACCAAGAAATGCTTCCACTTTAACTTGATTGATATTTAAGTTTAACATCTTTTTTTTACTTTGCCGATTCTACAGATAGAAAAGAAGAACAAATACGCGTTTAAACAATTTGTTTTCCAAAAAGAATCTGTTGTAATAGATAAAACTTGTTTTAACAAAGTGGACTTTTTTACAGTTCCAAACTTTTCGTTGTTTATTCAACTACATGTTTTTTCTTACTACTTTTTTTTGCGTTATAGCATTGTTACTGTCGAATTTCATAGTCTGATTCAGTGCTCGGGACTGAAATTAATGAGGAGAAACTTAATTTTTCAGTCATAGTAGAATATTATATTTTTACTTAATACTTCCCACTTAATACTTTATTCAACAGAATTTAATCCAAAAACGCCTTTCCTGTCCAAAATCACTCAATTTCTAGCTGCTCTTTCAAAGAAAATTTTGTTTTTTTGGTCTTTTTTGCAGTTTTAAATTTACAGTTTGTTAAATTACGAAATAAGGTCTGCATATTATTGAAGAATCAACTAGTAACAATCAGTTAAAAGTGTTGTTCAAACGTTCTAAACTGGAAAGTGCATGGTTAGGCTGGAAAATTTACTTCAGAGAGTGGCTAGTAGATCTTTTGCCTTTTTAAATTGAATAAGCGTGACTGATTGCTACAGGCTGTTTAGTGTATATGTTTTTTGATATTTAAGATAAGTCCATATATTCATCAATTAGGGCCCTGTACTCAGGTGATTTAGTATGGGTCCGGATAGAGAGAATTTGTAAATTATTGCAAGTAATTTCTTTTACATAAACTACTAATTTTTTGAAATAGCTGTTGCAAAAGTTTTCAAGTGATGTCAGGCACATTTTTTCAACAACTCATGATTTGTGCCAAGATAAGAAACCATTTTGGAACAACAGACAGATGCAATGACAACAGCAAATAATTGTCAAAAAAAATTTCATTATTAAATCAAATTTACCTTATTCTGCATTTGTCACTGATCATTATTTTCTTTGAATTCCACTCATATAAACTACTTTAAATAATCTTCATTAAAATCTTTAGGCGAAAAATCTGAACATTTTTGATGTAAATAATGTTGCTTTTTTGCTGACATATTCTAAACAAAGACAAATGACAAGTGCCCAACAACGTTTCTCATTCGGAGAGCGCGTACGGTACACTTCTGTATTAGCCCGATAAGGGTCCCTTGATTTTGTACGTTTTCCCACTGGAAGCAATCGATGGTTGCCTAGGGTACCAAATTAGGTTTTGAAGAACTGTGTTTGTTAAATTGCTCTTACGGGCTAACCATGTTCTTCCAACCTTACTGATTGTAAACCGAAACTAAGACAGCGAAGATTTAGCAACGCTTGTGTGATTGGTAATGACCACTTGATAATACGCTCAATATTTTACACAAACTTTACTGCCTAGTTTCCAATAAATACAGTTATGATGAAAACAATTACCAAAAACCTTCCTTTTAACGTATGAAATATAATTATAACAGGTACCAAAAAATAAACCAACGACAGAGAAACCAAAATACCAATAATTTTAGACTGGTAAACTAGAAGCTGGTAAACTAATCTGCCAAATAAGCGTGACCTGTAAGTCAAGCAGCTGATAATAAAGAGCAAAAGACTTGAGAGGAGGAAGACTTGAGTATCAACTAGAATTTGAATGAATTGAAGTGAAGCAGATTAAAAAAGACTTTCATTCTTGACTCTTATCTCCTTCACCTAAACGAACAGACAAAAGTGGCTAACTCTCTCCCTTTCAGAGGCCTCTCCTTGAACATAGATCAGTGGTCAACTTCAGCGTAATAAAATATCTTTGTTTTTGCGTGCTGTCGAAGTTAACAAAGTGAAGCTGATTTTGAGTGAAACCGGGACTGTCGTAAGAAACTTGAATAAGAATATTATTATACAATAATAAAAGTAGAATATAACTGAAATTATGGACGAGAAGAAACTTACAACCTAAAACTAAAGCAGAAATAAACCAACTTGTAGAACAAAAGCAGTCATAAAAGTTGTACAATACCATATCAAGTGATAGAATTACTTTTTCATTCTTACGTTTTCTTTTCCTGAAAAGTCTGCCCCGATTGAAACCTTCTCAAAAAATTTTTTCCGCTTTTTCTTTTATTTCTGCTTTGAGTGACATCTCTTAGCTTGAAAAAAATCAGAATAAAGAATTTCACTTTATGAGTATTAATTCATTGTTTGTACTGGTGCGTAACTTCATGGTTTGCTAAACGAGGATGTCTCTTGGGCACAGAGTAAGCTTTGAGGAACAGAAGTAAATCACTGGACAGGTGCAAAATAATGATGTTAAAAAAAAGAGTGATTAATAGACAAAAGTAGAAATAAAAAAGAATAAGAATACCAGATTTCACTAGTGGTGCCAAAAAAGTAAAATTTTAAATGAGCCTACCAAACACTTATTTTACGCTAACTTTGAAAAATGAAGTAAGAAAAGCCTTTTGTATATCCAACCAATGCAGTATCTTCTAGTTTCCACTGGCAACTACAGTCTTTGATAGTGCTGCCATTATAAATTTAATATAAAGATCACGGTTTTTACTTTGATTACAATTGGTACTGTGAACTTCGAAAATTGGTTCTGTTTCTCGACACTCCTCACTGTTACAAGATAATAGTATAGAATTTTGACGTCTGTTATTAGGATTTTTGACGTTACAGATCGCTTAAACGTGGCCGCCGAATCGATGCAAAAATTCTTGTCTATCTGCACCCTTTCGCCAGTGTTTTCATATCTTTAGTCCTCATGAATAGGTGTGCCTTCGTTTTTAACATCTGTCTCCTCTTTCTCGTACGGCCTTAAACTGACTGTTGCAAGCTGCTTCTAAAACAGCATCGACAAGAATAGAGTAGCTATAAGAGTCTCTCGTCAAATATAGTCGTTTCACCTCCCAAATTTTCATTACTTTTTGTACTGCACCCGCGTGTCCTAGGCTAATCACTCGTTAATGCAACCATAAAGTTTCACAGCTACTTATGGTCACCTGTTACTATCGTTTTTCTTGTTCCTGACAAATTCAGAGTCATAGTGAGGACAAATACTTCGAAAAGTAATCTTTTTTTGCCTAATACGAAACACTAAAACGCTTTCATATTAAAGTACTCTTCGCAATTTTGAACAAAATTTTGGATCGTTGACACATTTCCACACACCACTCTTGGCCGGCAAATTTCTATTTTTGATTCAAGTGCTTCACCTTCTTTAAATGCATTTCCTTCGTGAAAATCCACCTCGAAACATGAGTTTTTGCGCGTTTAGTTTGCGCTTCAAATATTCCCGTATCTATCTAATACTTCCGGTATCCTGGGGTCTTCCTTCAAAGATTTTTGTTGAACCGTAGCTACTTCATTCGCTGAAATTTGTTAAAATAGTAATTCTTCATTGTTTAAGCAAATTTTTCAAGAAATTTTCTACCATCTTTTGGAAAATCGACTACATGAAAGTTTTTGCCTTTCATTTTCAAAGTATACCCATCTTTGTAATTTACATATAAATAGCGAAATAATATAAGTTTCACTCGCTTCTAAAGCTGCTTGTAATAAAAAAAATTTGTTTTTTTTTCTTGATAGGGCTTACATTTAATGCCTGCTCTCTAGTGAGCGGTTTAAAGTGACCGTGGATTTACACTCGGCTGTAATCCAATAGAACTTCTTTTATCAAATTATTCTCTGTCTCGCCTGTTTTCATTTCTTCTTCTGAATCTTTTGACTAAATTGTTGTCCTTATTAAACCTTTTCTCCAAAAGTTTGTTTCATCTTCCAAAGCTGTTGTAATTCTCCACCATGGCAATTTTCTCACTGTATTTTCAGACCCGCATTTTCCATTTCGTAGTTATATTGGTATTCCTGATAGACCCCTATATGATATTAATCGTAGTGCCTCCTCCATGGCCAGTTTAAACTAATTACCATTCACTGTCTCTTCTAACAAATTACAGTCACGGTCATCTATAAGTAATCTCATTACGACCATCCTCCGACCATTCTTATATTTCCATAACACATTGTAGCCGATATCTTAAATGGCTGCGTCCTCAAAATAATGCGTTTTTACGGGACCACGTAAACTGACTTTATGTAAAAACGATTCGATCGGACTTTTTTTATGCACAGTTGTTTGCTGGATACTTTTTTTTATGAATTAATTCTCAAACAAATACTGCTTCTACTCAATAAGTTTTTAGCTCATGACCGCTCTCTTCTTTGTTTTGGGAACCTTTCAAAAAATAATATCTGATTAGACCTCTATTTGTCAAACAGATCCAAGAGTTTATTTATCCAAATTTGGACAGTGACTAGTGCTTTTTTGAGAAAATCTTGATTTATTTTTCAATTCACATCCATTATTAGTGTAGGTGTATCTTCTCCTAATGCAAAACGTATACAACTTGCTTTTAAAACGGTACCTCGTCTGCCTCAAGAGGAAATATTTGGGCTTTTTTTGGCCTATTTAGTAATGATGTATCAAAAAATAACACTTAAAAAACTGATTTAAAAATTTAACAAGTATTTGCTCTTATCGCACTTACTTAAGACGGTACAAAGAAATGGGAATATTAAATAAAAACATTGTAACGCAGAGTAAAAAAAAGAAACTTGAAAGTAACAAGAAATTGAATGTTTGAAATAAAGAACTTACTTACTAAAGTTGAACGCAAAAGTTTTACCGAACTTGAATTTCAATGATAAATACAAAAGTAGTCTGGAATACATATATTACATCCAGCTACCGTTCAATTTGCTGGTGGTCTGGAAGAACAACTGTAACTTCTTCGATATAATTATTCTGTCTGGTGGTCACTTCAACTCTCTGCAACTTTCACTTTCCACTTCTCAAGCCTATTTGTTTGAATAACCCTACGTCGCCTGCTTTAGGTACGGATCAAACTGCACGCCCTCCTATGTGGTGCACTGTTTTTTGTCGTTGCTTTAAGCTTAAACAATACTTTTCTTTAAATTATTGCCAGTACGAATTTTCAAATCTTAGTGCAGATTAAAAAGCTTTTGTGTTTCTTTGGGTGTACATGATTCAAGTTATAAAAGATACGCACTGGTACCAACTATTAGGGAGTACTATCCCGTATAAAATCCACAGCATTTATAACAGCAAAAATTAGCTCATATTACAGATATGTCAACATTGCAAATTAAACAATAAATCTTTCCTTCCCCCCCCCCCTAAAAAAAACTTAAAAAACTTCGTCGTAGACATATTATAAACCAATTCAGGGTGAATACTACGCTTTATTACTAAGTGAATAAGCAGATCCATAGTTTGATTGAAATATTTGACTTATCTCAAGATTTAATCGAAACTGGCTTAAAATAGTCCAGCCCTGTTATCTCGAAAAGTTTGCACTGATTACTTTCAAAAGCCAGAGGTGAAAAAGTGTTTGAATGCTTATATGGTTGTTTTTTATATTTTTTCCAAATTATGCATTGTTGCAAATACTTTTTTGCAGTTGTTTATTCTTGAATGATCTGCTATCTCTGCCTAACTTTATCAAACGTGGTATAAAGTATCATTTGGATTCTTCTTGAATTAGCCTTACCTATTAACAAACTCGCTCATTCACTTTAATAATTCCTAAATACTGGATATTTCGTTCCAATCAACATTATCAAATTTTTATATCGTTCTGCGTACCTACCCACACCATTTTCCAAGTAAAGACCTAACCAGTCTTGAAGTTTATTTTTTGCCTTCTCTGTCTTAGATATCATCTGCTTGCTATAGATCGTTGTTATTTCAAACTTAATAAAAAGTTTTCTTTGCTCCGTTGTTTTCTCAGACTGATATAACTGCTCTCCCTTATATGAGAAATTGTGGGGTAATTTGACCATAGATATTCCAGTAGCCTTATTCAAACTCTGTACCACAAAAACCTTAGAGCGTAAATTACTACACTTATTATCATAAACCAACAAAAAAAAATGAAAGCTTTAAGTCATGAATGTTTTTTTTTGTAATATTTTAAGTTTCTTTTCAATATCCCCGTTTCCAGACCTCTTCTTCTTCTAGCTCTTTATACCTCATCTTCCGCGCTCGTAACCCCTCCAAAGATTTCAAACACTTTAGATCTTTCCACTGTTTTTCGTTCTTTGGTAACTCCTGTGCTCTTGTAAATTACAGCCTTTAATAGCCAGATCTCTTATATCGTCTTCAGATAAGGAGTAGGAAATATTGATACCGCTACCTTCCCTACTAAATTTCATGCATGTTATATTTCCTTTCATTCTCTCTCAATTTCTTTCAGTAAACCTTCATCCCACGTGAAAGACCTTTAAAGTAATTGTACTGACCGTTCAGCCCTTAAGTTATTCGGCGCTACTAGATTCAAAGAGTCAGAATTGCCATAATTTTGTGCTTATCGTAGCAAAATCAATTTGCCACCAAATTTTTGGTTTGAATGTTCTTATATGTCCTTATCAGAAGAAAGTTTTAAGTCATTTTTTTCGAAGTACCAGGTGATCCCTGATACCTTTTTTGACGATGCCTTGTTTAAATTTTCTTTCAGAACTTTTTTCGCTAAACTTCGATACGTTATATACTCACGGGCACACAATAAACGGTAGATTCTCACAGGTTTGCTTAATTTCATCGTACATACAAATGATTTCATTAAAATCACTAACCGTGACCAATTCATCAAAATATATTTGATTAACTTTCTAGAACACCAAATCTGCTTATTCTTGATTTCTTTTTTCCTGGACTTTTTCAATCCTCCTTTTAGATGGTAAATTACAGCTGCAATTAAGAGGTATGGTCTTAATATAACGGTGAATTCAATTCTGCTAAACCAATATATAGTAAGATTTTTGAGAGACGTTAACTTTTGTATTATCACCCGAGGAAATCTAGTACATTTCGGTCTTTTTTGTGAAGCTCAATTGGTCACCCTAAGCGCATTACAACTTTTCGCCCTCCTTTCAGCGAATGATTCATTAAGACCATAGATGCAGGTAGGATACCGCCTGCTTTATTCCTCAACGTAACATTTTTAACTTCTAACCTAGTAACTAGCGTGCTTGCTTATTTTTGTTTGGGTCACCGGTGACTTGCCTTCTATAAACTTAAACCAGCTAGGACTATTCCCATGACTCTCACACAACGCACTGTTAAGAACTTTCGACAGCAATAAAACGTTTCAAGCAACTAAAAACCTTCAAATTAGTGTCTTAGGCATTTAATATGTAACCCTAACTCATAGCTCTCCTCCGTCTTTGTTCCGTTGCGGGGCATATGTTGCAATCGTCTTCAAAATAAACACTGTTGCAAAAAACGCATGAAAAATTTGACTGCAAATTTCGCTCTCCAGTTATCCGATAAGCCTCGTGCAGTTTTGATGCCACGGGCTTATAAGACTCTTTTCTGAACCCTTTATCTTTCAAATACTATGTTTTTGCGGTCATAACCTGCTTTCCCCGGCTTAATGTATGAACAATTTACCATCCCTTGGAAAGCTTGCATAATGCATAATGTTCTTTATGTTTCACTAACTGCTAAATCATACTTAAGCTTAGTTAGCTCAAACACATTCCTCTGGAAAAACTTTTCGTACAGAGTAGTTCTAAACGTTTTTTCATTGAATGATTTTACATTGTCGCATGTCTGTCAAAGAGTGTGATCTACCTCTTCTACAACAGTGCAAAGGCTGCTTTCTTTTGAAAATGGTCGCACTCTTAGTCGTTGCTACAACGTTTGTTGTCTTATCTTCTCGTTGTCGTATCTATTCGTTGAAGTATTTATCGTCTTCTAATGACGGCATTGAATAATGCAATTTATATATGACGTGAATGCCATTTTCCATATATGGTAGGCTTAAAAAAATTGTTCCAAAGGCTGCTCTACTTTGTCGAACTCTCATCTGATTTTAGCAACTTAATTTCAAGTTTTCCTAGAATTGTTTTCAAATTTGCGGGCAAAGTTTCTTCTCTTTCTTTCTAACATTTTTTTTTCTATACACCCTTCTCTCTGCAGACAAACTGCTAATTTGTCAGTTATCCTTTATCCTTCGAATATTATCTTTAAAAATTTTGTTTCTTTGATAAATTTTCAATATTCATCGCACTCTTGAGTAATCCGGTTCCTTTCAGAATAACTATTATACTACTCCACTTCTCATTTTCTCTTCAAATGTTCCTAGTGAGCCAATCAGTTGCCTCCTCAAACTTTAGCAACTGTTTCCTAGTCTTCTCCGTTTCTTCGTGCTTGCTTAAACTTTGCTTCCATAACCCAGCCAACTCATCATGAAGTCCTTTCGTGCTGACTTTAATAAATATCGCCATCTTTTTCCTTGCTTCACCCTCAAGGCTTTTATACTTGCCTTCGCTAACGCTAGGTTCCCGAGATGCTTCTCCTCCTTCTAATAAATTAACGATTGCACCATACACTTAGTTAACGGCTGATCAACGACGTTTTTCATTTGGAGAGCGCGTACGGTACACTCCTGTGTTAGCCCGATAAGGGTACCTTAATTTTAACGTTTTTCCACTAGAGGCAATCAATGATTGCCGATGCCTATGATGCCAAATCAACTTCTAAAGATCTGTATTTCTTAAAGCACTTGTTCTTATAGACTAACCGTGATACGTCAGCCCTACTAATTTGAAACTTAAACCAAGAGGGCGAGATTTAGCAACCTTATTTCTTAAAGCACTTGTTCTTATGGGCTAACCGTGATACTTCAGCCCTACTAATTTTTAACTTAAACCAAGAGGGCGAGATTCAGCAACCTTCATACGATTGGTAATGACCACTTGATAATGAACGACACTCAATATAATACATAAACTTTGGAGCTCTTGTCGATTGACGGCCCCATATACATATATATACTCCTTCTGGCAAGCTGCGACTAGAGCGACGTCGCTGTCGTCGCAGCTTCAAGCAGCCGAGGAACATGTCGACCGCGTCAACTTCGGCTAAGGGCTGATGAGTACCCTTATAATGCCGGAAATGAATACTGTCCAGTTGCAGATTTATAAACAATTGTGGGACATTATGGACGGGTTTGACCTTCTGTAGCAATAAGTTATTAAGTAACGTGGAACATCAGTACGAGGCAAACGAGGCGATGGAGCATAGAACAGTTTTTGGAGCGGTGACTGAAACAAACATTCGTCCACGTACGAATTCAGTAGTGCCCTTTCCGTCCCGTACCGCGACTTGTGCCGACCCTTAAATTTCTGCCATAGATGCTCAATGCTGTTTGTGTAAACACCGGTCTCAGGATGCATAAAGTGGAGACTATAGTTGACAGCTTCATGCTGGTACCCCTCTGGCATGTCCTTGATGGTACTATATGCAGCCCACTGATCAGACACTATAGTTGTTCCTGGAGCAACATTCTGCCTGATCAGTGACAGAAGGGTAGCAGCACCTCGTTGAGCATGCAACATGTAGCCTTCTTCAATGTTAAAATCACAGTTACGCATTGTAAACTTGAAGCTGTAGCATGAAAACTGCAAACAATGCAACATTGCTACATCGCAAGGTCGGCAGATCCGAAATCTGAACCTCCATCACGGAGGTTGGGAGTGCTACCACTGCACCTTACTACTACACCTGACTGATAATTTTAAGATATACATAAACTTGTAAATAAGCGAGTAGAGACGTTGCGGCAGCGCAGCGTTTGCTCAGCCCTGCTGCGCCGCCGCTGCCGCCCCCTTCTCATTGCCGATATTCCCCTCCCTTTGTTGCTGTCCCCTTCCCCTTTGACCCTTCACTGTCCCCTTGCTCAAGTTTCCCTCAACAACCAGCTGGCCAATCAGCTCGCTGGGGCGTTCAATCGACAAGAGTGCCTAAACGTTATTGCTCAGTTTAATCAAACTACAATATAACGAAAATTACAAGCGAGAAGAAAGTTACATTCCAAAACTGAACTAAAAAACCAATATACGGTCCAAGAAGGCTTATAACACCATGTGAAGTACAATAAAATTACCTTTTTCGTCTTAAATCTATTCTCTAAAAATCTTCAAGGGGCGCAGAAGGCAGATAACTACGGAGTCTATGAAAAAACACTGGCGCATACAGAATGAGTTTGTCCGCCTTTGCTGTGACTGCATCCAATAATCGGAAAAACCTTTTTTTGACTCCAAACGCTGAGAAACAGTCACTGTATTTTTTGTTTGATTCATGAATAGTTTGGAATCAGACAGAGAAAAGAAACATTCAACGGTAAGTATGAAGCAAGCGTTATCATCCACATTTTGTATGCCGCTCAAAGCAAGCGGTAGGTTTCATTTGTGTCATATCTTTTGCAAAGCTTGTTCTAATACTAAATTTGTTAAAGATATTGTAATATCAAAAGTCTTACCGATGTTTATCATCAGCAAGTCAACTAGAAAAGTGGCTGCTGATTAAATCGACAAGCGGTGTACAATTTTCAAAATAAAAGTACAAATTGAAAAAGCGAAGAATTAAAAATTACTTTTATCATTTAAGCTGCAGTAAAATAGGAATAAAGCATTGGTTGAAGACCAAAGTTCAACAATTTAGCCAACTATCACGCTCGACTTGTAACGCAGACGCCATCTACTGCAGTTTTGGTTTAACACTTAAATACAAGTTTCAAGCAAATTTAAACTGTAGTTCTGTTTTGTAGACAACCAAAATGCTTGGGGTCGAAAAGGTGAAAACAGTTGTGCCATTGAGTTTTTCAATGACCGAGCTGGAAGATGCTGTTCTACAACTAATGACTTTAATGCCATCACAGAACAGAGGACGAATTGATACACCAATATCAAAAGAAAAACTTACAAAGGTTTTCCGTTATATCGTTTGCTGTCAAATTTCTCAAAATTCGAAGTACAACAATTTACAGGGTTTAAATAAAACAAAATGCTGTAATTTAGCATGCACTTTTTACAATTTTCCGTTCCTTCCCACTTCCAAACGTACACCAGACAACATCCTTGTGGGATGACCTATATTTTTTTTCTTGAAGAAAATTATTTTAAGTAATCATCTATATTACTTTGTATATGGTTCAACAGTTAAGTAAAGTCATTATTGGTAATAAAAGAAATCGTTAAAAGTTCCTTCTGTTGAAAACAGATGATTATTATAAAGAAATTCTGAAAGTTTAATTGCTGTGCAATTGAAATTTGACTGTTTATCTTTATATAGTACAAACTCAGTAAAAATATTAGGAAATAGGTAGCGGCAAAAACTTTTTTTGATCGTCTGAAAAACGGTTATGTTCAGTTTATTATTCGCCTGCTTATTTTGAACGATACTGTATTCAGCAACATCTGAAGAAGACTCTATATGTTGAAACAATAGGAATATAGCTCAATACATAGTTGAAAGGCAAACTTGATTTGTTAATATATAAAACCAGAATCAGCTTCTTAACTGAACCTTGTTAAGTAAAAAAATAAGTTCTAGAACTAATTTTTTGAAGATTCTTTTTGGAATGCAATGGATTAAACAGTTTCTTTTACGTTCTTGGTTTATATCAAAAATAAAAAACAAGACGTCTGTCGTGTGCTGAACTAACTGCTGTTATTGAACAGAAGTGTTTTCTCAAAGAAAACTTCTCAGTGAGTGATTTTTCAATCAGTTTAACATTTCAAGATATTGTTTGGTATAGTTTTTTATGGTAATACTAGACCAGTTACAGTGCATGAATGCTTATAGTGATCGAAAAATCTTTGCACTTTTTTCGCAGATTTTTGGTTATATGCCTATTTCAGCTACCGTTAGAGTTTCGCTTAATCACTAATTTTTTCAAAAAACGTTTTTTAAGTTTCTCCTAAAAATGTGTCAAGCCTTTTGAAGTAATTACAAAAGCAGAAGAAAATAAAAAGTTTTGACCGAGCTTTTTTAAGTGCATTTTTAAGCATATTACGAGTTGCTTGAGAGACTTGAGCGAAAAATCTTGCCTTCAGACTTGAAAAGATTTAAATCTTCAATTAAATTTGCGTTGAACAGCTTAAAGAAAAATGGCGGTAAACAATGCTTCTTAATGACTGTGATTTTTTAAAACTGACAAGAAATTAACTGAAAGACAAACTGGAATTCCTCTATTTGAAGGGTTTCAGACACTTCACTTTGTTGTCACGGTGGTGTATCGCAAAGGATAACGTCAAAAAATGTGATTCGCAACATAAGACGCTCAACTGTTATTTACAGTGAGAATGTCTATGCTACAAGCTTGTTTGTTCACTAATCTCTGTGCTTAATTCTCAGTCGGAACCAAACAAAAACCGAGTTTCAATTTATGATCACCATTTCTGGAACAACTGGAAAACAAAAATGTTATATTCTAGATTTTATTTTGTTCTTGTTCTAAAACTTTCTTTGTAATTTTTAAGATGAGATTCGAATTTGCAGCAGTAGCTGTTTCACTTTAACTATGGATATTCTTAGTGGGATTAAATCACTGTCACAAGTGTGAAACCACTGCCGTCATAAATATTTTAACTGGCTTGTTAACTTAAATTCCAAAAGTCCAATCGAAGTTTTATTCACTGTAGCTCTCAAATGTAGAATAAAAGTCACCTTTGCTTTTGTGGTGAGTAACGTTAACGAAATCAACTACACTATGAATGGAAGTTTACAATAACTCTTCTAAAATTTCAAAAATCTCATCATAAAAAACTAAAAAGCAAAAACCTTTAACAACAACGACTGCCAAATTACTCTCTTCAAAACTGTTACGTTATGCATAATTTTTTATTGAGAATGAGGTCACAGTATGAAGTTCTTCAAAACAGGAGTTACAGTCTCTCGCCCACTAAAGCAAAACTCAAAGAATAAAATATAATACTTGCTAAACACCAATTCTTGTCAAACTCTTTCCTCAACTTGTAACTCTCAGAGCCTACAGTTATGAGATTCATCCTTAAATACTGC